ATTAGTGGTAAAATCATAGTCAAATCATGATCAACAGGTCATGAACAAAATATTTTATTGAATTAATTAAGACACTAGTTTGATAGTTTACTAGTTCAACTTGCTGGTTGACTCAATATAGATGATTAGCTGTATTGATCATGCAATTGTTGTAGGCCTACATTTGTTGAGAATGGTGCTTGCAAATCATAACAAGTAGGAATAAGTAATACAAAGTAATTACAATTAACACCAGACATCTAACAGAAAGCTTCAGATTCAGCCAGCAACAAGATGGAATTTAAACACGTGAAAATGATTCCACTGAGGGGTGAAATTTCATTAGACTGTTACTACTTTTTGCAAAGGAACCCATTTCTTCAAATAGAGAAGAAGCAAGAAGGATGATAAAGGCAAGTATTAGTTTCTATAATAGTTTGTAAAGAATATAGAATGTGATATAAAGTAGACAAGGCATGTTCATGGTCACTCTTGAGTTTCGAAGGCTGTGAAGAAGTTAGTTAAATTGTTCAGTTTGCACCGTTGGACAAGAGCTGGAAATATCCAGAGCAAACCTGACGGAAACAGGGCACACCAAGGAATAATAATCACCACTGCTTCACAAAACAGCCAGTGTGAAGAATGATTCAAATGGAGCCTCTCATACATTTTTAGCAGCCAACTGGACTTGTATGCAATAACGCTTTCATTCAATCTCCATAGGCATTTGCCATAAAATTTAACATTAGATATGTACCTAAATGATAATGAATTCATCGAATCCATTGATTATACTCATCCATCCTTATTATGAAGGAGCTTGAACTTGGGGAACCTCCTCCACCATATGCCTTCAATTCCAAATTGACAAAACTCAATATATATTAAAAGGTTGGAAAATCACAGTGTAAGAAAAGTATTGCAACGCACTTTTGCAATTTCAGAGGTATCTGTGGCATTATCAGTGCTTCTCAGGCACATTTTAAGATTGTTCCTTTGCATGAATATCACAGCTCCCACAGGCCTGCCACAGATATAAATATCCAATCCATCATATCATACATATCAATAATTTTTTTAATGCAAAATAAAAGTTATAATTTGCAATGAAGCAGCAAGACAATCGGGTTGGAAGGACTTGTTCAGAGACATGGTTTAGATTCTTCACTGTTTACCCAATAATATGAGTTAAATAAGAATGCTTGGACAAAGGCATGCATAATCAAATGCTTAAAATCAGAGAAAGAATCAACAAAATTATAGAAACAGCCAAGGATCTTGTTAAAATTTTCTGAGTCCAAGCAAATTATGAATCCCCTCATCCCTAATTCAGAATTCTAACAATATCTCTTTACATGGATGCTTATGAAATCTCATATTGACACAATTAACATGCTGGCAGATAATCCATGCCAAAAACTTGCATCCCTGATTGCCATACCAAACCAAGATCAATGTCACAAGATAAGAGAAAGACAGTTCTCAGTAACTCATGAAGTTGTCATCATGTAATTGTTTATTCTTTAATTTCGTATCTTCATTTAAAACTGCCGGAGTGGAAAGAAGTAAATGAGAAGAGTATGCAATTTTGTTCCAGAAAAAAATTGATTGAGGAAAAACTAGTCATAGGTGCAAAATGTAGGTAACATTTATCTTCAAGAGCCAATTACCCACGAGTGTGTTTAATTTAGTTCAGGATAGGTAAAACACGCCTGCTGTTAACAGATATCTGAGGATAAATATTGGGTCCAGCGGGTCCTTAACCCAAACAATCCAAACTTTAAAGGCATATATATAAATGGAATGTTGCACCAATGACAAATGGAATTCTTGGACCACAATTCATTTACCGACCTACATTTACGTATCAGTCCTTGCTCACTGTGGCCTTTGTTTTTTCTAGCTTTCATTTCCTATTGTCTATAATTTTTCCCCATTTCATGGTCATAAATTTTCAAGTTCGCCAAGTTAGACTGTAAGCTCTGGATTGAACATTTCCTTGCTGTCAACAAACTAATGAAGAATTATTTTCTTGATGAATTAAATATTAAGACAAACAAAAGCAGAAGGACATTTTTGCAAATAAATTACCTTAGACCAGCAGCAGCGCTCTTTGCACTCAGTAGTTTGCCAATTTCATCACTTAAATTCGAGTTCCCATCTGCCCTAACTCCCTAGAGCAACAAAGAAGGCATCAAAATTTGATTACAAACTTAAATCTTAATGTTAGGCGTGGGAGCACCATGTTGCTGTCACATGATGATGCCACAGTAATAAATTTCAATGGTGAAAGAAGCTTTTATGTACTAAAAAAAATCCACATAGAAATTGCAAGGCAAAAATTTAAATACCAGTTACATAAAGTTAGGTTTAGCTATAATAGGATTGATGAATTAATTAGAAATGGTAATTGAGAACTATCAATATAATGATGATTAAATCTTAGAATATTACCAGACACTCTCCATAAAATCCTCTACCCAGCCGAACCCTGAAGACTTTTCCCAGCAATTTGCTCGCAGCATTCTGTTGGGATGAAAGATATGAGTTTCCCTTAGCAATTAAATCATCAGCACTTAACTCCAGCAACTGTGACAAAGATTTTTTGAAAGAGAACTGTTCAGCAATGACATGATCTGAGGTGGGAAATTGGAAATATTTTGAGTAAGAAAAGCGATGAAAGTATATTTCTAAAATAATACACAGCCAGGCCAATTGTGCTACAGTCTGTGAGAACTTGAAATACTTATGTAGTGTAAATGAAACATGTAGCCTCTTGACATTGTATGTCAAACAACTATAATTCCAATTGTTTGTGAGACACATTTTTAACTAAGGAATCTATTCATTGTACCTAATTCTCTATGAACTGAATTCATATTGAAAACCAACTCACAATTTCTAATCAGTAATATGAGATCCATAAACGATCAAACCTGCTCATACATGTATGGATTAGCAAGGCAATTGAATTTTGAGCGCCATTCACCCAGTCCAATGTTAAAGGCCCTTATGCTAGGCAAGCTCCATCGATGAAGATCTCCATCCTCAATATATTTAAGAACAAGTTCCACACGAACTTTTGCTTTTGAGTCCAGCAAACTTGGAACCACACCCTTAATGATATTCAAACATCCTTCTACCTCAGCAATCGTTATGTAAGATGCTCGAGAACTAAAGCATCTTGAAGAACTCTAATTCCTACTTACATCAGGATTTCCAATATCTGCATGTTTGGTGGAGAAGTATTCGTAAACAGCACTAGAGCTACTCTTCTCAAGGCTTGCATGAATAGTGAGATTCTCAGGGCAATCATTGGCATCGGGAATACATGAAATTGCTGATTTCCGGTGATCAAACCCAATTACCCTGAATGAGTTGAGATGATTAAATAAATATGCAATTTATAACAATTAAGAGATGAAAGGAAGAAGCATCAACATAGAGGTGGTCAGAAAGGATTCCTATAATTATAGCAGGAATTCAATGTCGTCTTACTTGCATTCTGATTGCTGTGAAAGTTTCAAAAGAAACTCTTTCGGACAGAGAAAGTCAAGCAGATAACATGTCTCAAGGCCTTCACTGGTTAAATCTTCAACTCTGACATGCATTTGTAACTTCATTAACAGAACATCCCAGACAAAAATATTTCAAGTTCCTATTTCATTCTAGGGAATTTTAAACAAGAAATAAATTCAATCACTGAATTACATACAATTTCAAATAAAAATACTTTCTTAACAGAGCTAGATAGATAGCTTAACTTGGACAATGGGCGCAGGGCACTGCATTCAAAACTAATCCGTTCACTACAACTAGGAAAGCATGACATGGTATCCCGTTATACTATAAATTAAGAAAGTCATGCACGCCCCCTATTTTATTCTTACGCTTCATTTCATAAACAAGGAGAAAAGGGCATAAAGCATTATAAGAAAGAAAGAAAAATAAAAAAACCCCATTGTCAAAAATAGAAGTGTATGATAGCTGAAAACAAAAGGAGGGAGGAAAAAAACATGAAAGAGAATAAAAAGATAAGATAAGAGCTAAACCTGAGAGGCTCAACAGAAGAGAAAGGCAAAATAAGGCATGGGATATTATGATGAGAGTGGAAGAGGTGAGCAAAAAGAGCCGAGTATGCTCCAGAAAAAGAGGGGTAATTGTAAAGCACAACATTGGGAACTTTCTCTTCCGAAGCTTTAGCAATGGCTTCCAGTGCCGCATTTGATCGTAAGCTCCGAACCCACAAAGATACCGGATAGCGAGACCAAGTCCTCCATTTTCCAATCAGAGACCGACTCACTTCACAGTATCCTTTTACCCCCATGATTTAGTCGACTCGGCAGTTTAACTAGCTAGTATGAGGTTGAATGTGATGATGTGAGCAAAATCGAACAACATTAGCCGGAAATGGCGGTAATCGAGAAGATCAATGGAAGAGAAATTCGTTTCATCTTCAGGGCTGAGGAGGGTTTTGAGAATCCGGATCGCCTGTATCAAGCTTCCCTGAAGTAAGCGTGAAGGCGATGAGGTTTAGCCGATTGAGGGAGCACAGAGAATTGTGCCACGTCATCATATGTATTCTTTTTAAAATCAAAGTCAAACAAACAAGACCCGGCTGCACAAGAATATACACTACCCACGGCTTTCCTTCTGCAAGATTTTTTTTTTTTTAATAGCAAGATTTGAGAAGTCCATTGCAAAAGCTCTCATATGGCTCCTTGGCAATTCCATTCAGATGGTTTGTATAGCTTTGCATCATTCAATAATCATGGTGACTCTACTCTCTGCATAATGCTGTTTCTAGTAACCCAATGGGAAAGAAATCTCAGCAAAATGTATTCATTCCTCAACATTTATATTTCTTAATCCCAGTGGGAAGGAAATCTCAGCAACATTAATGGAGAAAGTGTTTGTAAGGGAAGTGTGGAAGATTTGTGTAATTTCCTTCTTTCTTGTGTTCTTCCCCTTCCCCATTAGATTTGTGCTTTTGCTTCGTCTTTTGTATCTTCCTTATTTATGTTGTATTCTTCCCTTTCTCTCAGTTTGTTGTCAATAGCCATTTGAATACACATACTCATAGTCAGAATAGTAACCCGTTTAATTGTTAGTCTCGTAAAAGTTCATTTGTCAAAAGTTTTCATTTGTCAAAAATTAATTTAATAAAAACTATTTATTATAATGAGATTTATGAGATAATTTTTTTAAAAAATCACATATATAAAGCTCATTAAATATACTCCATTCGTTCAAAATACAAGACATTTTTTAAGAGTTAAATATTAAAAATATAAAATATTTTAGTCTTTTAAGATATAATTATGGTCTATGTTGCAAAAATATTCCTATTGAATAAATTACTTTATATTTATTTTAGAATGAAACACCCTATTAAATAGGGGTAAATATGAAAAAATATAGTTATTTTGAAGACAAGTAACTATTTTATTGGGGTCAAATTTAATTAAAAATATCTTACATTTTTAATGGAGAGAGTACTTTACATCTTTATTTTTTTAAAATAAAAATATAAACTTTAAAAAATGTCATTCATTTAATACTCTATTTATAAAAAAATATCAAAGAGAGAGAATATAATGGGAAGAATAATGTTGGAAAAAATATCATCCATAAAACTTTATTTTTATTAAAGTATTTTATATTTTGGGATACTTAATTTTTTCGATAATATCTTATAATTTGGGACAGCGAGGATATATAATAAAAGTATCTTTAAATATACATATAATTATTAAAGAACGTGAATTTTTTTATTACACACAGGAGTTTTCCTAGGATTTTATGATATGTAATTTTCATTTTTATTATGTAAAATTTGAATTTTTTAAAAAAATATAAATCATATAAAATTTAATGTGATGAATAATTTATACTCCCCTCATTCAAAAATATAAGACATTTTTAACTGAACTTTATCTCTTAATAAAGTAATTACCTACTTTTAAATTAATCCTATCTTTTCATATTTACTCTTATTAAACACTTTATATTAAATATAAAATCATCCATCAATAGGGGTATTTTGAAAAAAAAGCAATGATTACACCTCAAAAAATTAAAAATGCTATATTTTAGATAGAGGGAGTGTAATAAAAGAATGTATTTGTTCAAAAAAAATATAATAAAAATGCATAAATAATATAACATTTTATATATTGAGTTTATATACTAAAAAATATACTGTAAATAATATAAAATTTGATATGTTAGAACAAAAAATTACTCCCTCTATTAAAAAATGTAAGGAGTTTTGTGAGGAATTAAATGTTAAAAAAGGTAAGCTATTTAGTCTTTCGAGGTGTAATTATTATTTTTTTCAAAAGTGTCCCCATTGATAATAAATTTATATTTATTATAGAGTGTTTAATAAAGGGTAAATATAAAAAATATGATTAGTTTGAAAGTAGGTAATTATTTTATTGGGGTGAGATTCGATTATATTTTAATAAAAATTTAACATGAATATCCTTCATTTAATATAACTTTAAATCTATAATCATTTCAATTCTCTTTTTCACTTAAAGGGCAATATAAAAAAAATATCATTAATAAACCTTATATTTATCAAATTATCTCCTATTTTAAAATACTAAAATATTTCTTTTTATAATTGAGGACGGGGCACTCAGCAAGGGCAACAAGGAAAAAAGGTAGTTAAAATTTTTAATTCTCTCGTTAATGCCGCAACTCTCACATTTCAAATGCAAAAATGAATGTGCTTTCAAGGTTCTTCAAATTAACTTTCAATATCTGCATGATAATAACCAAAAGTAGATCAAAAGTGCTATCCAAAGGCACACGAAAATAATGGATGAAAATGAAGAGAGGAAGGAAACTCGTACCTTTTTTATTTTATAAAACTCCTCTTTTGGTTTTTCAGATTTTGTACTTCTTCCTTTCTTATTATAAGAAAAACTATTATATGTTTTATTATTTTTTATAAGTAAAACTAAAAAATTTAAAAGTATTTATTACATTTTTCTCAAATTACTTCTCATAAAATTAAAGTTTATTTTCATGAAATAAAATTTTTTTATTGTTACAAGAATAATATAGTATAAGATATTTACTTTTAGATTTAATTATTTAATCAATTTTTTAAATATTATAACTTAATTAAAATTTGCTTTCATTTTGATAGATGGATGGGCTGGGTTTGAATTGCAGCATTAAATATGGTAATTAAGTTGATAATGGACCTTGTACGAAAAAATAGTTAATAACGGGCCACTGAATTAATTCCAGTTTCCATTTGACGTTTCCCAAGTTGAATATTGTATCGGCCCTCTAATTCTGCAATTTGAAAAACATAAAAAAGAGAAGGAGAATTGAAATGGTGAAGAACTGGGCTTGCCAATAGTGGGCAAACGTATGTTTAAATATGAAATTTGTTCATTTGGGCTTCACTTTAAGGTAATGGTCTATTTCAGCTAACAAAATTGTTTTCAATAAAAAATATTTATACACAATAAAACAATGTTTTTCAGATTTGTAAAATTAGGTCCAGCAGATGTATTGCCAAAATTTATTTTTATTTTAGACCGAATTTATCATGTAATTATTGATTTTATATTTTGTTTACTTGTCTGAAATTTTTGCAAAATTCATTTTATTTTAAAATTAGGTCACTTTTTGAGCTTTGGAAGATTATTTTGAGGTATTATTAACCTAAAGTTAAACAATTATTTTCTACATAAAATAGTGGGAGAATTGTTCATATATATTGTTAGTCGATTGGATTGATTAATTAGATTCTCATTATGGGAAAATGGATGTTCTTGGGTGGTGCCACTACTATATTGCTGGTAATAGGGTTTATATAAAAGATACCAAGACCAATTAAAAAAGTCCTAACTAATTCAGCATGAATTTTATTAATTAATGGTCAAAATATAGAAAAAAGGACACAAAGATCTTATATGCATATTTCAAATTAAATATGACACATACATACATACATACATACATACATACATACATACATACATACATACATACATATGTCCTATTTAATTTTACTTTTCACATAAATCAATATATCAAGTTTTTTGTAAAAATTTTGGCAGCACCTCCTCTATAAATAAGACATCTTGAAATCTATATAATGGAAATTTGTACAAAACAACAATCTAGATACTGAGCTCTACTTCCTAGCAACAAACAGGCAACATAATAAAAGGTTAGAACCCTAACTATGGTTATTACGAAGTACCTTAAACTGTGTTTCCCAAAAACATAATGCATAGACTTCAGAATTAGCATCAAAAGGAAAGGTGGTTTCAAAATAAATATCCACCCAATACAATTATGAGTCTCTCAATGATCAGCAAGAGGTTCAACATCAACTAATGAATCAAAGACAAAAAATAACTTTTTAGTGAATAGCATTTCCAAAAATATAATTAAAAGAGTAAAAATAAAAAAAATCAAACAATTATGTAAACTAATTGAAAAGAGGATAATTAAATATAATAAACTCATTAAATCTAGAAATCTTAATCATAACCATAAAATGTGAGTGAACTAAAATTACTTGATTCTATTATACTTGAGGAAAACATAATATTTATATATGAATAAAAGTAGTACACTTACTAATTGTAATCATTGAAATTTTAAATACACAAGTTAATTAGAAAATGTAGAATTTTGAGGACTTAACAAAACAAATAACAAAAGTGGACATATAGTCTACAATGATAAACAACCAAATATAGCTTATACCATAAAAATAAATGTGGACACACAAGTCATGAGTATAATTAATCAAACATAGGTATGAATCATGAAAACAAATATTGACACACAATTCACGAGAATAGTGCTAGCCAAATATAGCTTGGAGCCATGAAAAACAAGTATAGGAACATGACCCATGAAATAAAAACATGAGAACAGAGCTCATGAGAATCAAACTAGCTAATTATTAACTATAGCGCTACGAGCTAATAGAAATTGCTGTTAGCAACTAATGTTTTGCATATAGTCCTATTTTAAAATCAACTTTCAAACCTGCATGGAAATTTTCATAACTAACATTTCATAATTTCATTAACAAATTCCATGCATGGCTTTATCAAATAAATTTTTTATTTAAGCTTGTATAAATACTTTATCAATTTAATATAATATAATTTCACATAACATTGATCCATTAAATCAAATTATCCAATAAAATAAACATTCTTTGATAAACATGGTTTACTAACAATAAAATAGTAAAAAATGGCATTAACAAATTTTATAAAGAAAATTTTTATTGGTACATTAATTGCGATGCTACATTTACTTGTAGTATTCCCACAGTTTCAAGATTCACCTTTTATAACTTTAACTGAATTTCTTTTCTTTCAAACATCCTATAAAATAAAATAGGGTCTAAATAAACTTTTAATAAATTGATAAACTTTCCTTCAACATTCATATGACCAATATTTAATTCAAATAATGCGAAGTTTTCAACATCATCTTTTATATCGGAAGGTTTCCCATACGTATTCATT